CGAGAGATTGTTTCGTCTGAGCAAGTAAGAAAGTGTTTAGGCGTAAGTTTCTGGGTACATAGTATACGGACGCGAGGAAGAAAAAGTCTCTTGACTTGGTTTAGGGTCGTTCGTCGGTATCTATGTACAAGGTCAAGTTTATTCATCTGAGTGAGTATACTAGAGAGATTGTGTCGAATAATCTTGCGAGGTACAAGAGGTTTAAGGATGGCTTAAGAAAAGAGATTCATGCCTACTTGGTTACCGGGTGTTCAGAGGTGTTCGATGTTCTGGTAGATCAGGTGAGGGATGTTGATAGTACTTTGGGTGGACCAGTCAGGGTTCTCTAGAAAGAGGTCCGGTGATGCTAGTTTTTAGAGTCGTTCCCCTAAATGGGATTAAGGAATAGATCAGTGTGATCTCTTTAGGGTCAGTCTGGTTCAGCTGTTAGATTGTTTAGAGGTTGGTATCAGTTTCCACTTTGTTCTTCTTGTGGTAAGAGTCATCCGGGTGAGTTTTGGAATAGTACTAGAGGTTGTTTTCGTTATGGTAAAAATGGTCATCAGTTACGAGATTATTCAAGAAGAGCTGAGCCTAGAGATGGTGCACATATTCCTTCTAGAAGAGGTGGTCGAGTTGGTACGGGTGATCTGATGGGTCAGACTTATGGTAGAGGTCGTTCTCGTGTCTGAGTAGTTGATACTGCTAGAGTCTTTTTCTTTGTTTGCCTTAATAGATTTTGGTTCTACGCACTCTTATATCCTTGGTAGTTTGACTAGTCATTTAAGTGTTCCTATTTATATTAAGAGTGTGGGTTTGTTTGTAACTGGAGCTTTGCGCGAGAGAGCACTTGTGGATCTTATGTACCGTAGATGTCATTCTGTTGTTCAAGGTGAGGATTTCTGACCAATTTGATGGAGTTATCGTTTCATGGTTTTGACGTCATTCTGGGTACAGATTGATTACGTGAGCATCATGAGCACTTAGATTTTGAGTTGCCCCGAGCAATTTTGAAGACGGTGGACATGTGGAATTAGTGGTTCTAGGTGAGTGATCGGAGTTTCTTTCTAATGTTGTGTCAGGTTTGGATGCAAGTAGAATGTTCATGGTTGTGAGGCATACTTGGCTTACGTACTTAATCCAGGTGGTCGGGAGTTGCATGTGTAGGATATTCATACTGTTCAGAACTTTTCATATGTGTTTCCATAAGAGTTTACAGGTTTGACACCAGATCGTGAGGTTGAGTTTCGTATAGAGACTTATACTGATTAAAACCCTGTGTCTATTTCATCCCATCACATGGCACCTAAGGAGTTGATGGAGTTGGAAGTGTAGTTGTAAGAGTTGTTGGATCAAGGTTTCATCCGTTTGAATGTTTCTCCGTGGGGTGCTCTAGTTATGTTTGTAAAGAAGAAGGATAGTAAAATGCGAACGTGCATTGATTATCGTCAGTTAAACAAGTTGAGGATCAAGAATCAATATCCTTTGTCGAGGATCGATGACTTATTTGATCAGTTTAGGGGTGCCAAGGTGTTTTCAAAGATCAAATTGCTCTTTGGGTACTATCAGTTAAATGTTAGTGAACCGGATGTGATGAAGAAAACTTTTCAGACGCGTTATGGTCATTACAAGTTCATAGTGATGCCATTTGGTTTAACTAATATTCCAGTTGTTTTTATGGATTTGATAAACCATGTGTTTCACCCGTATCTTGATATGTTTGTGGTGATGTTCATTGACGATATCTTGGTGTACTCAGCTTCTAAAGAAGATGACGATTAGCATCTCTGGGTTGTTTTGCAAGTTTTGAGGGAAAATAAGTTGTGTGCCAAGTTTTCTAAGTGCATTTTTTGGTTAGGAGAAGTGGTGTTTCTCAGTCATGTTGTTTCCGCCGAGTGTATTCGGGTTGATCCAAGTAAGGTTAAGGTGATAGCTGAGTCAAAGTCGCTCAGGAGTGTTGCTAAGGTTCTCATTTTCTAGGGTAAGGTACTGTAGACTTTTGTTTAGGGTTTTTTCATGGATAGCTTCTCTGTTAACTAAGTTGTTGCAAAATGATTTTAAGTTTGAGTGGACGAGTGAAAGGCATAATAGTTTTGAATTGTTAAAGTAAACTTTGATAGAGGCTCCTATGTTAGTTCAACCAATGTTGGGAAAGGATTTAGTGGTTTATAGTGTTGTGTCGATTGTGGGTCTTGGGTACATACTGATGCAAGGCAGAAATGTAGTTGCTTATGCATGAAGGCAGTTGAAGCCACATAAGTGTAACTATCATACGCACTACTTGAAGTTGGCTGCAGTAGTGTTTGCATTGAAGATTTGGCGACACTACTTGTTTTGGTGAGAAGTGTATTCTTTACATTGATCAAAAGTGTCTCAAATACCTCCTCACTCAGAATGAGTTTAATTTGAGTAGAGGCTTTGGGTTGAATTGTTAAAAGACTACGAATGTGTGAATGAGTACCATCCGGGTAAGGCTAACGTGGTTACGAACGCCTTCAATCGAAAGTCGATGGGTGAGTTACGTGCTTTGTTTGTTATAGTATGCCGAAAGACCAATCATATGATGATTGTAATTATACATTTTATTTACCAATTTTATTGAGTAAAGTCATTGCTGCTATTATTTTTAGTTATATATTTGAGTTTAACATAAACTAGAAGATAATAAAGTCCATATAATAACATAATTGTTATTATTAAAAAATCCCAAATCAAGTGTTATTATGGGCATGGACAATAATAGTACGCTTAAGTCTAACATGTTATTGATTGATGACAACGAGTTGTCATTGACAAAGAGATGCCAGAATTGATACATGATTATATTGTTAGAGAACAATGAATTAGATTGACCCACCATGAGCATATGTCTTGGATTATTATGTGACAATCATAACATTACTCATGGTGATGACTATATGTACGATCCTCAGACTTGAGATCAATACTATCCCAACATATATTTTTGTATGTTTTGATGCAGTTAAAAAGCTCCGTAACTGGTTTCTCTATAAAGAATGTTATTGAATATATCTCGATATATGTAGTGGGTGTGTATGATTAAGATATGATTTGCCCTTCCTACATAATAGGAAATATATTATTTGCCACTTGATTGTGAGAGACTAGAAATGCATGGCCATGCTCGAATAAGTTGATATGAGATATCACAAACTATTCGTTAATTAAATTATACTCTAGATATCAAGAAACAATATATGGGCTATACAAGTGCGACTATTCCAAGACTTGTGCCTATTATAGATATAAAGGACAAAAGGATGTAATACATAAAAGAATTAATCACGAAGATGATATATCGAATCATATTTTCTTGTAACTTAGGTGACAATGATATATTGCTAGATGTCACTCATTGTATATAATATTAGAATTGTTCTAATAATTACTGCTAGCGTTAAAAGAACCTATAAGGTCACACCCTAGGATTGAAATGAGAAAAGATGTACAATTTTTTGTACGATACTAAAATATATCTAGAGTTAATGTATATTTGATATACATATGTTTTAATAATACTAAATATTTAATTTAAATTAATTAAATAAAGATTTAATTAATTAAAAATAATAAAATCACTAATATGTTAGGGTAACTTGGATATAAAAGGAGGTGTAAGGTCTAGGCGTTTTTACACATTATCTTTAGCCGTTTTTCTCAAAAAAAGTTTTGGGAAAAGCAAATATTGCTCTCAATCGGGTGTACAGAGTAGAGGCCGAGACGTGGTTTCGTGGAGGCTTACGATTCGAATCGATCGACACCACCATTAGCCGATGTTGTCCTTGCTATTTTTAAAGGAACCCACTATATATATTCACATCATTTTCTCCCGATTTTGATTTATCGTACTTGCATCGCAGGCGAGTCTGTCAAATTTTTGTTTTCGCTGGGTCATGGGGTGAGCCGACGGTCCCAACATTGTTTGATCGTTTGAGTTTGGCTAAGGATGGAGCATTAATATCTGAGTTACAAGTTAAGTCTACATGTTCCCAACGTATTCGGGATATGCAACCAAGTGACGAGAAGTTGGAAGAAAAGTTTCAGCTAGTGCGAGATGGTGTTGGAGGTGACTTCTCGTTGAGCTCTGAGGGTATTTTTTGCTTTTGAGGTAGGTTGTGTGCGCCGAGGGATGAGGAATGAGGCGTGAGATTCTCGTAGAGGCACATAGTGGACCGTTTGCAATGCATCCGGATAGTATGAATATGTTTCAGGACTTCTATGAGTTGTTTTGATGGCCCGGGTTGAAGCATGTTGTTGTTGAGTTTGTCGGACGTTGTTGGGTTTGTCAAGGTGTTAAATCAAATCATTAGTGTCATTCGGGTTTACTGCAGCATATTAGTATTCCTGAGTGGAAGTGGAAATTGATTACGATAGATTTTGTGATGGGTTTTTCGTTTTCACCGTCAAATAAGGATTCAATTTGGGTGATACTTAATTGGCTTACTAAGTGTATGCATTTTTTCCAGTTCATATTACGTGTTCATTATGGTGATTAGTTGAGTTGTTCATAGCTGAGATAGTGTTGTTGCATGGAGTTCCTTTGCCGATCATTTCGAATCGTGATTTGCGGTTTAGGTCGAGGTTTTGGTGAAGTTGGCATAAGGCTTTTGGTTCAAAGCTTAGTTTGAGCACGACTTATCATCTGCAGACAAATGGGTAATCTAAGCGGGTGATATAGGTTTTGAATGATATGCTTAGGGCGTGTGTGATTGATTTTATTGGTTCTAGGGAGAGTTATTTGCCGCTAGTATAGTTTGCTTAGAGTAACAATTTTTAGGCTAGTATTCAGATGGCTCCATTTGAGGCGATGTACGGCGGTGTACGGGAGTAAGTGTCATACTCCTTTTTGTTGGAATTTGTTGAGTGAGAAATGTTTTGTTGGTTTAGAATTCATTCAAGAGACTAAGGATAAAGTTAAGTTGATTAAGGATCGGGTGAAGGCTGCTTTTGATCTGCAAAAGTTTTATGCAGATTTGAAGCGTCGAGAGGTTGAGTAAGCTATGGGTGACTTGGTGTTTCTTAAGGTTTCGTCTTGGAAGAAGGTGTTACATTTTGGGCGAAAGGGTAAGCTTAGTCCAAGGTTTATAGGACCGTTTGAGGTGTTGGAGCGTGTTGGGCTAGTTACGTATCGTTTGAGGTTACTGCTTGAGATCAAGTGTATTCACGACGTGTTCCATGTGTCGATATTGCGTAAGTATATGTAGGATTCTTCTCATGTCGTTTTGGTTGATGAAGTTGAGGTTCACAAGGATCTTTCTTACAACGAAGAACCTATTAAGATTATGACTAGGGATGTGAATGTTCTTTGGAACAAGGTCATTCCGTTGGTAAAAGTGTTGTGGCGTAACCACAATACTGAGGAGGTGACTTGGGAGATGGAAGAGTCAATGAGAGCTTAGTTTCCACGGTTGTTTAGCTAAGGTAATTTTGGGGACGAAATTCTTTTTAGAGGGAGAAAGTTTTGACGTCCTAAAGTTAGGTTTGGTAGTTAGAGTTGGTTTTGGGTCAATTTCTAGATTTCTGATAAAAATGAAGAAAAGTTTATAAAATTTATATTTTGGTTTTAACAATATTTTGGAAAGGTTTTAAATGATTTTAGATGATTATTTTTAATTATGAAAGTTTAATTAAATGATTTCGTGACTGAATTGAAGGAATTGGAAATTATAATTTTGGTTATCATTTTGTAAATTTTCACAATGTCCAAAGTCTATGAAGCAATTATGCAAAGGCTTATGTTTAGAGTTCTCCCTCTGAAATTAAATGTTTTAATTTTCCCGTTTTACCATTTTTCCATCTAGATTCATTTTAATATAAATTATATTTCCTTATTTACTTGTTTTTATTCATGTGCTTTTCGTTTTCTTCTTATTTTGCATTTTAGTAACTTCCCGTAACTTCCTCCGTTTTCTCTTGTTTTCTCCCAAATAAGCTGATTAATTCTTTCTTTTTTCTTTTTGATTTCTAAATTTACTCGTCTTAATCTTGATTTTAATTCTCAAGTTTCTCTTCAATTATCTTCTTGTTTTTAAAGCTTGATCAACATGGAGTTCCTTTGATGATATCAATTTCAATCTATTTTCCAGCAAGGTAAGGATCTTTTTCTTGGTTTTTGTAACACCCATCTCCCGTATACCCTTCCGTAAATGAGATATGGATGTCACATCTCTTTAAAAATAGTGTTTGTCATTTGAAAACCCGTAAAATTTTGTTCAAGTCGAATAACCACAAAATAGGATATTTTTGAAAATAACATCTTAGAATCTCCACTTAATTACATTACAAAATATTTACCATAATTTAATTACATGCAAACTAAGTTTTTAAATTGAATAAGATTGTCATACCATTACTGATGAGAGTCAACCTTAACTAATCATACACACTGCTACTGTTACACTCCTTTCCCAATTTATCTCCATTTTTACTTAGCATGGAAACAACACACGTTAAGTATTTACTTAATGAGACATAATATTATAAAGTAACCTTTTTGTATATTGAATTAAGTCCTTTTTATTTGATTTATACTAAATCATATATTCCTTAAGGATTCTATGGTCCTCCTCATTTAAATTGTATTCCATTTACCATTATCTTAAGTATTTTAGTATGCCTAGCATACCTATCTTTCTCTATATTTTTCTTGTCCATTTATCTCTTTAATCCTAAACCTTTATTTTCATTGATAGCATTCCATCATGCTTATAATACACCATTATACCATTTCCATTATAGCCTCCTTTCATGCTTTTATATACTATTATACATTTCCTTTATGGCATCCTTTAATGCCTTTTATGTTCTGTTTACGTTTTCCTTTATGACATTCATTCATACTAATTATGCATTGTTGTACATTATATATATATATATATCATCCCTTCATATCACTTATACACCATTCATATCATGATACATTAAAATTCCTTTATTCTCTTACTCAATAGTGTTTAACCATTCATCTAACTAGAATAATTGACACCTTTCTGCCAATTGCCCAGTTAAACCATTATTCTTTTACTCAACGGTACTTAAGCGTTCATCTATCTGGCATAATCGACATCTTTCTGTCAATTTCCCAGTTAAACCATTATTCTTTTACTTACTTTTAATATCGTTTAACTCTCTTTTAATTTATTATAAACCTTATACATTCGCACCCTCAGTGCTCACATGGTAGTTTACCAGCTTTTTATTTCTGTTAATTTATTAAGATACACATGTAGTTCTTATACCATTATTCCTTAACCATTCTATAATCTATGTGGTTGGTATACCCATTACCAATATAAAAACCATTTTTCTTATTATTAATTTGTTATGTTTATACACATATATTTCTTATACGAAAATTAATACACTTAATATATTGAAATTGTCATAACCATTGATCGTTAATCCTTATTTTTATTAATAATGTCCATTCACCTTTATCATATACCATTATACATTTTTCATTATAGCATACTTTTATGTTGATAATGCACCCATATGCATTTCAACTTTAGAATCCTTTCATACCAATAATGCACCCATATGCATTATTCTAATATACATATAATGTACCCATATACATATCAGCTAAGGCATCCTTTCATCCCACTAATGCACCCATATGCATTATTCTTTTATGTCGAAAATGTACCCATATACATATCAGCTAAGGCATCCTTTCATGCCAATAATGTACCCATATGTATTATTCTTTTATGTCGATAATGTACCCATATACATATCAGCTAATGCATCCTTTCATACCACTAATGCACCAATATGCATTATTATTTTATGCTGATAATGTACCCATATACATATCAGCTAAGGCATCCTTTCATTCCACTAATGCACCCATATGCATTATTCTTTTATTCATTAGTTTTAGAGCATTTCATACTCTAAATTTATGAATAAAATTCTTTCCATACCTTAAATAAAACTTAGTAAATATTGTAAAACATACTTTACAATTTAAACATTTTAATTGCATTGATTTTATAAAATAAATGTACTCACCTGACTTTCCTTGCTATGTATCCAAAACGTAAGGCTGATTACTCCGGTATTTTTCCTTTACCCTTAGTTTTATTTGTTTTGCTAGCCTGGTTTCGATCTATCCCACATTCATTACATACATGCATAATATCAATTGTTAGTGTATTTCCTAACAATTATAACTTAAACATTAATCAAAATACTTATTATTAACCTTTCTACAACAATATTAACCCCAACTTAAAATTTCTGGTCCTCTGGTATCGATACCCTTGCTTATGGTATCAATGCTACCCTATTAGGGTATCGATACCCCTTCACGTATCGATACCCAAATTAGCTTCGATGTTTACTGATATCGATACCCTTACTATGGTATGGATACCATATTACTTGGGTACTGATACTGGTTGAATCAGTATAGATACCTCTTATATAATTTGGCCTAATTTTTCCTAAGGTATCGGTACCACTTCATTAGGTACCGATACCCCTGCCCATATTTTCCAGTTTTCAACCCAAAATTTACCAAACTTTGGCCAATTTTCATCTCATTTTCCCTTAACAATACTATATAACACTTCTCTACTTAACCCTACTTCCTTTCCTTCATTTAGACACTTAAAACATCCAATTTTCCTTAAGAGCATTTGATTCTAAGAATTACACCACAATTTCTAACTTGTTATTTCACTCAGCCAATACTTCTAATCTGTCATTTACCTTAATGACAAGTCAATTTTACCAACAAACCTCAACAAACCTTTATATATTAACATTTCATTTCAAAACCCATTTTCTAAAATCACCAATATTTTCTTCATTTCATGACTTTAGTCTCAAAAAATTCGTTATTATGCACATATATCACTTAACATAACCAAAGGAACCCATATTTTAAAGAAAACACTAGCTAAGGAGAATTTATCTTATATTAGGGAGAAGAGGACCCCACGTGAAGAAGAAAAAGAAGAAGAAGTGTAGGAAATACACTTTACTTTCCTCTTTCATTCCTATTTAAAAACCTTAACTATTTATAAATTTTATTTTCCTCTTAAAAGACCAAAGTGCCCTCTTAACTCCTTTATTTCTTGAATTTAGTTCAAGATACTATTTTAAATCCTTTTTATCATCTTTTACCAATTATTCAATTAAAATCATCAAATTTTAATTCTTTTCAATTTAGTCCCTGACCTAATATTTGGAGTATAACAATTCTCCCCCTTAAGAAAAATTCATTTTGTACTCGTTTTCTGGATTTCTCTAATCCAAATTTGTCTTGATTATTTTTCATAATCCAACTTTAATTGAATTCGTATTTCCCAAAGTAAGAACATGCAATGGATTTGATTGCCATTAATAAGAAATGACACATGAAAACATTATAGGTATTGTCCATTTCAAGAGACAAAAGCTAACTGATAAAATCTATTAAGGTTCACTAATTCTCAAACTCAGTCCAAACCACAATATTTCCTTTCAAAACAATACATTCAGGAAATATTTATCAATTTCTTGCCACTCAACTACTTTTCTCTTTAAATCCCATAAGACTTTTTGTAATTAGCACCACTATAGCATCGGTCACTATACAATTAATGACGTTAAATCTTTTAAAGTAATCGACTACGGCCGACTCCAAAACATGTGTAGATAATTCCTTTTGTGAGTCTTTAACTTTATTGAGGCATATGTCACAATTTTACCTTTATGCATAAGCAAACTTTCTAAACCATTGATCTATGCATTAGTAAAGAAACTACATAATCTTTACCCAACCCAAGTTGTATAAACGTTGGTATTCCTGTTACAATCCTCTTTAGTATTTCAAAACTCTCTTGACCCTTTTTCATGCTCCTAAAAAGACATATCTTTCCTTAAAATTGAATCTTATATATTATGCTGAAACAACATGGTCTAATAAAACTATCTCTGCTAACCAAGGTCCACATTTAACTGTCGAAGAGTTTGATTTGGCCAACAAGTTCTTCTCTTGAACAGTTTGATTTAACTGTTAAAAGCTGTGTATAACCACATAGATTTATCTTTCTTTTCACTATTAACACACATATTTGATTCACTTGACTCACTTAAGTCATTTAATTACTAAATCAAAGAAACATGTTAAATACCTTAATAACTATTAACCTTGAATTTCACCTTTCGATGTGGAGGTATCTCAATAAATTTACTTGAAAAGAAATTTATAATTTCCCAAATTGTTGTGAAATTATCAAACCATTCTTCTTTAATCATTTGAGTATGTATCACATTAACCATAAAAAAACTATATATATATATATACAAACATATATATTTTTGACATCATTTCTTCACAATCATTACCGATATCACCTTGAGCGATGAATTTACTTTCTCACTAAAAACTATAATCTCCATAACC